CCGGCTGCCGGCGGCCTGGTGGGGCCCCGGCTGCTGCTCCATCTCACCTGCCAGGGAGGAATTTAATTACCAATTAAGGGGCCTTCCATCTGTTTGAGGCCTGCCCGACCGCTCGCGCTCCCCTTTAATTACATCGCTGACAGCCATTTCACTCAATTAGCTGCGAAGCGCAGCAGAGAGCCGGCGCGGGGGCAGCTCCCGGCCCCGCCATCTGGGGGGCCGGACCCCGTCCCCCCCGCGCCCCTCGTGCTGTCCCCAGCCATCCCCATCGCTGTCCCCACGCCATCCCGCCCCGGCCCCCTTGCCTGGCCCAAAACCCCCCCATCCATCCATCCATCCATCCATCCATCCCTGTATCTTTTCCTGCATCCCTCCATCCTTCCCTCCATCCATCCCTGTGTCCTTTCCTGCATCCCTCCATCGCTCCCTCCATCCCTTCCTGCATCCTTCCATCCCTCCATCTGTCTATTCTTTCCTGTATCCCTCTATCCTTCCCTCCATCCATCCCTGTATCCTTTCCTGCATCCCTCCATCCTTTCCTCCATCCATTCCAGCATCCCTCTGTCCTTCCATCCATCCCTTCATCTATCCCTGCATCCTTTCCTGCGTCCCTCCATCCCTCCCTCCATCCATCCCTGCATCCCTCCATCCCCACATCCTTTCCTCCATCCCTCCTTCTGTCCCTCTGTCCATCCCACTATCCTCTCCTGCATCCCTCCCTTCCTCCCTCCCTCTATCGCTGCATCCCTCCATCCGTCCCTGCATCCCTCTGTCCTTCCATCCCTCCCTCCCTCTATCCCTGCATCCTCTCCTGCACCCCTCCATCCCTCTCTCCCCGCTGCCACCCTGTGCAGGGTGCTCTGCCCCCTCCATCCCCTCTCAGCCGATTTTTAGGGAGCAGAAGCCGGGCCCAGGGTCCCCAGGGGGTGGGGAGCGCCGAGGGGCTGGGGCTGGCCCCCCCCGGGCCCCCCCCGGCTCTGCCTGGGCTTTCCTACGGGCAGACGCTGCAGCTGCTTAACGGGCTCTAAATCTCCTCGTTAAAACAATCCGTAACGGGGCGACAGATGCCCCGCGCACCCGGGGACGGATGGATCACCCGGGGGCGACAGCTTCGCGCCGGGGGGGCGCTGGCTCGGGGGTCCCGGCTGCTCGGGGCCTCTCCGGAGCCGCAGCGGGGGTGAAAATAGAGAGAAGGGAAGAGGCAAGGCACCAGAGAGGGGGAAAATCCTCGGGGTTTGTTTTTGGGGAGCGATCCGGGCTGGATGAGGGGCTGTGTGGGCAGCTGCCCCCCCGTCCAGCAGCACCCATGGGTGTGATGAGCTGGGGGAGGGCTCAGCCAGGGGGTTTTGGGGTACGGGGACTCATTGTGTGGCCAAGCTGCCCAGCGCGGCCAGGGATGGGGGGCTGCCCCCCATGCCTGGGCGTGCAGCCCCCGGCCGGTGTCTGAGGGCTGCTTGGGTCCCCCAGCCCCAGAGGATGGGGGTCCCTGGCCCCGTGCCTCCCCCGCCGAGGATGCTG